TACTTACTTATGGAGGTACCTTGTTCTCGGATAGACATACATGGATGTGTTTTCTATATTTCGTTTTTGTAAAATCGGCGTGGATGTTAGCCACATCTTTGGTTGTGTTTACTTTGTTTGTGTTGGCATTTAGCCCGCTTATGTTGTTTATGATGCCAGTGATGTGTTTGGTGTGTAAGAAATTTGGAAAGGTGCAGGTGGAAATTGCGGAAAAATTTTTGCTGAAACGAAAATAGGACTTTATCAATTTCGTTGCTTTGAGAAAAATGCGTTGGAAAAACGAAATTTTTAATTCGTAAAAAAGAACTAGTTAACGAATCATTTTTTGTAGCTAAAATTCAGGATCCAATCCAATCCAATATTTTAATATTTCTTGTACTGTATATCGGTTTCAACTTCATTAAATTTCTTGTACTGTATATGGTTTCAACTTCATTAAACTTGGAATCTCTTTGAATGATTCCTTTTATAACCAAAGGTTATTCCATTCCTTACTCGGAAACAATGTGCTTTGTTGCTGACCATAACGTCCGTCTATGGTATATTGCAAACGTGCGTTATAAAAAGCCTTAACCAACACGTAACTACTTAATAAAATTGCAGAGCACGATTAGTAAGAATAACTTGAATCGGAGTCTTTATATTGATACATGATCGTTATCGTTTAATACCTACTTACATCATAATAAATTTTACTACTCGAACTTGTATCGATCATTCATTTAATACACGTAATGAACTAGACCAGACTCACTTTGTACTATATATTGCAACTTTCAAAACCGACATTTTCAATAAAGTGATTGACTTCGGAACTTTAGTATGCTGAGTACTATGAAAAAATTTTTTTGTTTGTCTGTTCATTTTTCGCCTCTTTTTCTTCTAACACAAATGATAAAATGTTTCTTGTCGTTTATTTTTAGGTGTTTACTTCGTTTATTTTGGGCAAGAATTCGTAACACTAGAGATTTCTGTGGTAATTGCTTTGATGTTGAGACGAATGGCTCGCTGTGTACTTTTATCATCACAGATTTAATATTCGTGACTTTTTTTTTTTTTGCATTATTCTCGCATCAAAAAACGAAGATTCCGAATCACAAGCTGAACTTGGACTTTTAAATCCATCCTCGACTTCATCGAAAGCTGCATCAGCTAAAAAGGAGTGTAGATTTGAAATGGGAGGTAGTGGAGGAGATATAGATCACCAAGTGACCGATAACGGATCGAATAGAGTAAAGAAAGATGAAAATAATATTCAAGGGGGTCAAGAAATCAAGATTAAAAGAAATAACGATCAAAGGAGTGCGAACGATGTGAGCAACGTGAAGGATAAATGTCAAAGTGGAAACAAGAAGGCTAAGGATAGCAAAAAAAAAGAAAATGCCAACCAAAGGAATAAAACCAACAACAACAATGGAAACATTAGCCGAAATAATGAGAGCAACAATAGTAATGGAGACAACGGGAATAAAGAGGACACCAACGGAGGGGCTAGGACCAACAATAATAACGTGAACGACGGAAATAGTCACATAGAGACTGCAAGCAACAATAATAACATAGATGACGACAAAGAAAATACGATCAAAGAAAATAAAGATATTCACCGAAATAATGAAAGCAGTGACCAAAAAAAGAACGAAACCAAAAAGAATAATGAGAATAGCAACGGGAAAGATGAAAGTCGCGAGAACGACAATAAGATTGCTCAAACCAAATTTGGTAAGTTAATTGAATCTTGAACTCTATTTTCTACAGTATTCATATATACTGTATATACGGTATTGTATACTTTGTAATGTATATTAAAATTGTTCTTAGATCATGTTCGATTGAGTCAAGGCGATCGATCCACGATGCCGACCGGTCCATGGGGTAAGAAATAATCTCAAGGTTTAAATTATAAATAAAATTAATAAAATTAATTACGTATACATATTACACAACCCATGAAAAATGTAGAGTTTCTAGTTCAAGATGGGCGCAAAGTAAATTGTGGAATGTTTATGAATTTAAAGACAATGCCTAATCTTGGAATTTACGTTTCAAATAAGTAATTATGTAATGTAGGAAATTTACCCTTATGACTGTTTTTCTATTGATAACTTTCTTTTCGTAACAATAAACATTCTTTCAACGCGACTCATTATTACAATATACCGATTTTCCTTTTCTTAATTTCGAAAGGTAAATTACTGTACCATTCGATTTAAATTTGTATTTGTTTCTTCGAGAAGACTACGTAAATAAGATCTCGGATAATAATATATTGCCTTAAATTAATAAAGCACTAGTTACAGCTAAGTGAGTAATCAGGTATTTGACAGCCTCCAGATAATTTCAAACAAAGAATTTTTATCGTTGTGATGTATATATTGTACCATGAGTAATGGCGACGCAATCTGTACTAATAACGATCTTCAAGTAGTATTGCGTGCTCTAACTGGGACAAAAACACGTCAAAACAATAAACAGCACACATGAAAGTGTGAAATAATATGATAGAAAACTATAACATAATCAAAGAAAAGACCGGGCTAAGTCACGTGACCCGTTTCTGCTTGAATTGTCATATTACAACAAAAATAATAATCAATTATGTAATGGTTTCACTGCAATCTATTATTTTTGATTTCTTTTTGTCTATTTTATTTTCTTATTATCAATTATCATGTAATTATTGGATTAATTGTATAAAAAAGACACATATCATTAATAAAAAGTAATCTTTTTCAGCCACAATCAATTTCACTTCACAAAATAAAAACACTTATTATCATTATATGAATCTTAGCTTTTATTAGCAACAAACTTATCAAAAACTGTTACAATATATTTGTAATAATTTTTTTTGTTTTACTTTTGATTCTAAACATAAACACTAATTGTTATTAATTGATTTTTTGACAAAAATTTCATGTAATTGTTAAAGAAAAACATTCAGAAATAATAGAGTTTCTTATTAATAAATCAATTTTTCTTTATTCCTTTATCAACAAATTTTTTTATTAGCATTCTAGATTATCTTTCAAGGGATTATAAAATTTTTCAAATTTTTGAAGATATAACCTAGCATTTTTATTAACTTCTTTTGCCATTTCTTGATTAATATAATCAACAATATCTATTTTTTCTTAAATTGTCACTATATCATCTTCTAGTATAAAAGCAAAACAAATAATTTAATTGATTTATCTAAAAAGACTTTATCCCTTTTAAGTTCTGTTTCTAAAATAGAATTAATATTTATATCAAGTTTTTCTTATATAAATATTAAATTCTTGATTAATTCTAACAATAATTTATATAAATTAATAAGTTTTTTTGCTTTCTTGCTCTCTGACACTACTATTTGATTTATATTAATATTAATATCAAGTTTTTTCTAAATAGTTATTATATCTTTTTTCTTATATAAAATCATCTCATATAAAGAAAATTTTTTACTTGACTCAATATTATTATTAGTATTACTTGTTATGATTGTCATAATATGGTAATATAATTAATTCACATAAATATATAAATTAATTAAATATAGCAAATTTAATCTAAAAATAATTATAACCATATCATAATTTCAAAATTACATGTTATTATAGGATAAAACCCATAATTTAAAGAAGAGACAGAGCCTTGAATCTCTGATTCATTATTTAAAGACTTGCAAAGAAATAATAAATCTCAGTGAAATAATATCATATGTTTTATTTCAAAAAAATAACTTTTTAATATAAGCTAATATAAAATGCCAAGCTTAATCTATAAATTAAAAATTAATATTGTTACTGCCTAAGAAAAACAAAATGAGAAATGTGTTAATTTAAACTTACAGTAAACAGTGTGTTTCCATAAAATACAAAAAATAGAAACAGAATAAAGAAAAATAAAAAAAAAATCCAAAGCAATATTAATAGAAATTAAAAAAAGATAAAAATTTACAATTTAATATATTGAAACCTTTAGTCTCTTACCTGACAAATTTCAAAATCACTAATAAAAATAATTTTCAATCTTCAATAATTTAATTTACTTAATATATATTATATTTTAAACAATATTAAATAAATTAATATAAACAATTGAATATTATTATTTCAGTTGAATTTCATAACTCTGCCCTAATATTGGAATCAAAAGATAATAATATACAAAAATGTAATTCAAAAGAAAAGAAATAAAAATATGAGAACAAAAATATAATAAAATAATAATTTTATTAGAAAAAATTATAAGAATATTACAAAATAATATAAGAATTCAGTGTTTCTATATTATGGTCCTAATTGTTCTTTTTTTTTAAGGCTGAGAAAAAATGCAACCTTTTTATAATGTTTTGATTAATTTTTAATTATTCTATTATAATTATTTATGTGTGATTTATCTATTTTACACAAAGAATGAACAAAGAATTATTTTTGTTATACTTAAGTAATTTGCAAAAAAAAATTCTTATTCATAAGACAAAAAGTGAAATCACTTAAAATTATACTATAATAATTGTTTTTAAGCTATTAACAAAAATTATTTTTTTAGTCTTTTTGCAAATAGTTACTTAGAACTATAAAAAAGCTTAATAACTTTGGTTTTGAGCTACTATACTCTGAATTAATGATGCCATTTGAAAATCTATTGATGTTTTGAAAATTCTTTAGAAAAATATTATTTTGCTAATATAAAAAATATATATAAATAAGAAATTATAATAAATTATAATAATATCTAATAGAATATAACTAAAGTTAATAAAATTTCAAAAATTTTTTGAATTGTTTTTTTTTATTGGATCATAGTAAATTAATATTTTTTCTATTTAATACTTATACTAGTCAAAATAGTGCCATTCGGCATGCTGCCACTCATCAAACATTCAGATACAACATTCAGCATAATATTATTCAGTAAAAATTCAGCATAATACCATTTAACAAAAATTTGACATATGCCAAATTATAAAATAATATTTTATTTGTTGTAATAATTATAATAAAATAATGACCTGTGGGTCAATAGCACAGTGGGTAGTGCTCCCAGGTTTCCAAATGCATGTTCCTAGTTCAATACCCACAGGGGGCAAATGTACAAAAATTTATCCTTCATTTGTGAGTTTACCGGTTTTCTTACAAATGTCGTACCCAATCATCCAGATCTTATCTAAATTTAGTTAGGCTGCATGAAGATGGGACCTCTAGTCTTTCTGACGATCGCGGGCTGAAAACAGGTCGAAGCAGGAAAGGTTGCATGAGGAAAGGCTTCTGATCTAACTCCGATAATAAGTCCACATCCCCTCCTGGCATGGCAGATTCCATAGCACAACATGTTAATACAAAGTAAGGAATTTTGAAGGAAGATTGTTGATGTGGACACTAACATGTGATGTAAATGATCAGTTTAGTGTTATCTATATGTAGGAGTTGCACCCTGCTTGGCATTTATGCCCCTAGATTTGGTAGCTTAAGCCAACCGAATTCTCTTGGAGTGTCTACTAGGAGATTTATGGTGTCACGCCCCACTTGGCAATTATGCCCCTAGATTTGATAGCTTGTGCCAACCAAGGATTACAGTTTTCGGAGCATTTACTAGAAAGTACATATATATGTTGAACTCCATTCACAGCTGCGTGAGCTGAAAACGTGATGCGAAAAGATGATCTACCAAGTATTAACATGTGTTTCTATCAGACATCCTTAACAAAAAAATGGATTAACAGGTTAGGTGGTTTAAAACTGGTGGCAGGATTTTCACCTCCTGTGTAATCCCACCTGACATGTAGGCCCCCTTCATGGTGTACAGTTCGCATAGTTGGGTTATATAGATCGCAATAGGCTACAATTAATTTGTACTATGTATAAAG